AAAGCATAACCCACTTTATGTGCTTTAAAACTATAAAATGTTGGGAAGAAAATTTACCAAAATATATCTACAAAAAAGCCAAGTAAATTCCCCCAGATAATTGGTCTCATTAAATACTGGCCTCCAAAACTTGGGGTGATAATCTTGGCTCATGAAGGACATAATGGTAGAGAAGGATCAAATAATAGTATGTGAAGGGAACAAATCTTCAAGGTAAAAAGAGCGAGAACTTGGAGAAGAACTGGATTCTGGTCTGCATTTCTCCCTATGAGAGCTTGTTTAACTGATTTCCCCTCTTCTGGGTCTTAGTTTCCACAATTACAAAATGAGAAGGCTGGACTAGATGACTTCAGAAGCACCCTTGCCTGCTCTGACACATTTCGATCATTCAGCAAACACACCCTTTCTTCCAAGTGCCAAACCTTGTGCTATGTGCTAGAACAGAATGTGGTTCCCACCTCAAGACACTTCCGGGAGGGGTGGCCACAATGCACTTCTTGGCCACAGGAACTCAGACACGTATAGGTTCCCTCCTTTTTTCATTACACTGGGCATGAGGACAGTGGTTCTCTGGAGAGGCAAGCCTCTTATTCAAGTCCTTCCCTTACCGGCTCTGACACACATATGGGATGCAGAGTCAGATATACACAAAACACAGACCCCACTGCAAATACTGGTAGGAGCATTTAGCTGCCACATTTGCCTTGAGGTGCTTTTTATTCAGTGAGGAGATCTCATGCCATTTCTGTGTAAGAGCTGACTGTAGACAAGATACAATTAGCAAGCTAGATGGTTATCTTTAAATGGGCCTTTGCTTTTTCATTCCTGATTTCATTATCTGTTATCATGTCACTGGAGCCAATAGATTAAAGGCTCAACATCCTTAGACTACAGCCTGAGAGAAGGCATTAGAATATGAACATATCCTTAAATTGTGGCCTCATCACAAATTAGTTAGGGAGGCCTGTTTAAACAACACTTCCCTATCCAGACCTTTCCAAACCAACTCACAGGATGTTAGAGTTGGAAAAGTCCTAATAAAGTATCTATTCCCTACATTGCAAATGAGTTTCAACAAGTCGTTAACTCCACTTGAGGCACAGTGTTGAGAAACAGACAGAGGTGGTCAAGTCTGGACTTAGTGAGAAAGAGATTGATTAGTAATGTTTGCCCTGACCTTGGGAGGGGAAACACCACTATAATACACATTTGCCTTTCCCTCTTCTGAAGTCAAGCCTGACTTCATAGATGAAGAATCTAAGGCCCACAGAGGTTAAGCTACTTTCCTGAGGTCATACAGTGAGTTCAGGACAGAAGAGAGGACGACAAGCCAGGCCTCTGTTCCCAGGCCTTCCTCAACTGGGCTCCTTGGGAGACAGCAAGCCCAGAATGAAAGAAAGAATGAAGGGAGCCAGATTTGCTCTGGTAAATCAGCGACCCTTCCATAGTGGCATCAGATTTCACCTAGGCATAGAGACAGAGGAGTGATTAGCAATCTAAAGGATTTCCCTCTGTGGAAAATTAAAGAAATCGATCCAAGGCTGCATTTTTAATGGTACTTTAACTTTCTAATGGCCAAGGCTCTGCCACCAGAAAAACTAAAGAAAGGGAAAAAATGTATTGATTTCTGGATGTTCTAAGAATAAAGTTCAGCTCTGACACAATAAGAAAACTTCTGATATTTGAAAATTAAAGTCATTGGTATTCCATTATCCCACCAATTTCTACTTCATGGATGCTATTATCCAATGAAGTCATTTCTCACAAGAGATTATAGCTCAGAAATGGAGAGGGACTACATGGAGTTTCCTAACATAGGTTTTTAATAACCAGTTCCCAAGCATAGAATATGAAACAGACTGTAGAATTAAACCAAGATGTTAAGCAGATTGGGGCTAGGAATGAGAGGGACCCTCAAATTAAAAGGAAGATGGCTTCAAAACTGGCTTTTCTTGCTTGGTTTTGCAGCTTTACGAGAAGCCAGCTGTCTGACCAGATGAATGCTGAAATCCTAGAAGCGTTATGTGTCCTTTATAAATCAGCTGCCCTACCCAGCTCCAGAGGTACACACAGGATGAGCTACCATGACAGTTATGTAGACCTACATTCTAGCAGATGATAAACGCTCTCAATTTGAAACTCTTTATTCTTCAATACAGTGGAGAAATCAAGGAGTTACAAGACTGCTCAACCAGTGGGTATGCTACCCTCAAAGAAACTTCTCTCGGATCCACAAGGAACATATTTTTCATTTGGATAAAGTCCTGTCAGACTTCCTTCCAGTGCCTCTGCAGTTATTTCTACCAGAAAGATAAACAAGGTGCTCTGGGATGACTCTCAACAATTACAAGAGTGACAGGCTGAGCTCAGAACTGGTCAGCCCTTTCGAAAAAACCCTGTATGTTTGAGATGCCAGATTTCCCAGATAGCGGCCTGACCCATTACATGCACATTCCAGTGCACTGGGATGAGGAATGGAACACCATCACTCTGAGAAGTCAGCCTCTTCCCTTGAGGCCAGCTGATATTCAAACAAGGGGCTGGGGGCCAAGCCCAGTGCTCTGCATCTGTGGGAGAGTGAAACAAAAAGGGGCTGTGTGGAAATTTGGCAGGGTGTCCTGAATGGCAGCAGATGAATGCTGAATCCTGTAGCACCTACAGGAACTTAGCATTGGGGAAACAGCTCCATTCTGCAGCTCTCGGGAAGCAAAGAGATTTTCTTTAAAGCAAGAATAATCAGTTGGTAGCCCCTGCACCCTACCAAAGCCCTCCATCACTTCTTCCTCCTCCTCTTCATGCTATACCAGAGAGAAAGAAATGAACAGGAACGAGACCTTCCCAGATAAGCTCCTCTGTCCATTTCAGTTAGGGGGATAATCAGTTGGTAGCCCCTGCACCCTACCAAAGCCCTCCATCACTTCTTCCTCCTCCTCTTCATGCTATACCAGAGGGAAAGAAATGAACAGGAACGAGACCTTCCCAGATAAGCTCCTCTGTCCATTTCAGTTAGGGGTTCCAAGCAGCACCAAGCTGCTGCTCCCCTCTCTCTCTGCCCAAAAGTCTACCATTACTCCATCAATCTCCTCTTGCACAAGTGAGTAATTTACTTTGAAAGCTCAGGCCAAACTGGCAGTTAACCTCGACCTTCTTTCTACACATCTGGGTCTATAGAAAATGAAAATCAGGACATCTCTGGCATCTATAGCGTATGAAATACGAGGGCTTTCTCCAGGCAGAGGCAGAATGTCAAGAGCTATTTTAGAACTGGCTACAGCTACTCCAAAGGAGAGTTTGCACTTGGGCAGGACACTCTCCCTGGACCTGGGGCTGTGTCTGGTATGGAGACCCCACCGCTAGGGATGCTACAAGGTACTCCTGCCTCAGGAAAGAAAAAAAGTAACCATTGAACTCTTCATTGATTCATTGATAGTATCACAGAATGCTGAAGCAGGACCAATAAATACATTTTACAGATGGAGAAATAAGGCTCAGAGAGATGGGGGAGATGATCAAGGAGACACACACAGAAAGTTAATGGTAGAGCTGAGGATAGAACCCTGGCCTCCTGACCCTGATGCTCCTAAAGGGTAGGAAAAGAGGAAAAAGACTTCATGAAGGAAAAACCCATACGGATAGAAAATTTAAGGGTCTAAGTTGGTTATCAGGGTTTGAACCAGGGGTTTAGGAAAGAAGTTGGGGCCCTTCGTTCCTAAACAGTAAGATCTACCAAAAAGATCAACCAGACCCTCTGGGATGGTTTGCAATAATTACCAGAGTGACAAGCAGAGCTCAAATTGGTCAGCCCTGTAGCAAAGAGCACTCTGTGCTCAAGATGCCAGACTGCCTAGACAGCAGCCTGACACTGGGAAGAAAAAGGAAAACCATCAACCTCAGAAAAGTCAACCTTCCATTGAGGCCAGCCGACAATCAGTTAACTCTGACCCCAATGCACAAATTATCCACTTCCCATGGGACCAGGGAAGTCCCATAAGAAAACCTGAAATGCCTCACTGTATGCAACAGTTCAGGCATGCTTATGCTCACTGGCACCTACTGAGCTAGGAGCTGGGAGGGTAGGAGTGATGTGACAAAGCTTCTGCTATCAGGGAGCTGCAAGTCTAAGTGCATGCACACACACACACACACAGAAAACATATATGTGTGAGTTCAGAGGAGGCAGAAACAGTTAAGATCTCAGTTTTGGCTGCAAGGAACACCACACATAATCAGACTGGGCAAATTCAGAAGAGACAGAAAAGGCATGTGGGCACCAATAGCCTCTCGGATATTTTGGGGGTCGCTCCAAAAGATCCTCCACCTTCTGGACTCCCAGGAGGTCAAGGACAGCAGGTCCCTCAAGAATCAAGAGTTCACCTCCTTCTCCACCCCTAGGGGCCTGAAGCTCCAAGAGGAACATGATCTTTGCTTCCTCTAAGGAATCTACAGGAATAAGGCTGAAGGGAGAGACTGAACAAATGAGGAGAGGAGAGAAGGGAGGCCCAGGTATCTTGCTGGGCAGATGGAAGAACAGGAGCGCGGCTGACCTGAGTAGCGAACACTCGGATCAGCAGGTGGGGTGGAAGCAGAGAAGACTTGGACACCAAATAGAAGGACTAGTATCTCCATTCCTATCAGCAGAAGGAGTCATCCTGGGATACAGGGAAGCAGATAGGATCCCCAATAGAGAGAGAGATGCTGGAAGAGATCAGGGAATACCAGACGGGGACAGAAAGGAGGATGGTAACATAAGCTAAGAAATAGAACTCCTTTCTGAGCACCTGAGGTCCTGGGTTCTAGCTCCAGTTCTCTGACTGGCATAGGACTCTGGACAACTCCCTGTCCTTCTCTGAGCCTCAATTTTACCATCTGAAAAATGGGAAGGGAAGAAGAATCTCTGGCGCTGACTCTGAGAAGAAAGAGGGGAAGGTGAAGGAAGGAACCTCAGGCTATAAGTAAATTCGGGGAGAGGGTGTTCTCAACCCCATGGCAACTGAACTCACCTGTCCGGCCGCCGGGGCCACCGCCGCCCCCGATCTCCCGGGAGTGCCGTCGGGCTGCCGCTCGCGGTACAGCGCCCAGAGCCCCACGTTGGGCAGGAGGACGAGGGCCGCCAGTACCAGCGCCACCGCCTGCAGGAGCCGCTTCTCCTTCCGCCTCATCGGGGCCGGTCAGCCCCGCCGCGCCCCGCCGGCCTCTCCGAGCCGCCCCCAGCTCCGCGCGTCCGCCCGTCCGCCCGGCGGCGGCAGCT